ATAATACATGTATATATATATATACATATGTATATATATATACATATATCTGTAGCATATATATATATATACATATATGTAGCATATGTATTTACATACAATGGCATAATGCATAGAACAAATAATATTAAATATGTACATATGTGGGATAATACATCACATATTGTATCAATGTAGTTAGTACAGGAAGACACCCTAGACTTTTCAGGAATCTGAATTAGACAGAAGTGGACGTTGAATTTCAGACAGAAGTGGAAATTTATGACTTTTTTGACTTTTTGAAGGATTCTGATTCCTTTCCACCTCTTCAAGGCTTCTTACCCAAACATGTTGCAAAAGTTATGGGTCAATAACTTTCTTCCCCAACGGACAAGGATTCATCCCCAACTGTTCCAGGCACAAAACGCCTCGGGGACCGAGATTCACACCATGAACACAGCTCGAGATTAAGGACCCCCAAACCTTTAGCTGTTACGACTGTTCTCTACAGCTATTAGTAGGGTATGGGTCTAGGTCAATAGCCCAACAAATGGATCATGATGGATCTTATAATCATAAAGTTAACCTGACAAACCATGCAGTTGGTATAAGCCTAAGCCCACATGGGGGGTTTCCATAAGTGGGACCCCAATAGCTGGATGGTTTATAATTTTTTTAGTCCTAAAATGGGATGATTTAGGGATACCCCCATGACAGGAAACCTCCATATTAGGGGATGAACCATGATTAACCGACAAACATCTCAAATGTCGGAAAAAATGGGGATGTTAAGTCACCAACAGTTGGCTATTTTTAACGCTTCACGTCTCACTGGTGCTTAGCAGGGACCATTCCCCCAGCAACCCATCCATTCCCATCCATTCCCTACGAAGCACCGGTAAGATGTGTCCTCCATCAATTTTGGGCCCAGCTTCCGCAAGTCCTCTGACGCTTTCTGAGCCTTCGCAGCAGCCACATCCTTCTCGCGTTGCTCGACGATCTCCTGGGTTCGCAAGCGATGAGATGGGTCGACAAGGGGGACTGGCATTGCGGCATGAGTAGAGATGGGGATTCAAGGGAAAAATACTGAAAATGACAATTACATGGGAATTAACATGGATTTATGGGATTTAACATGGATTTATGATGATATATGCATATAATTGCTAATATCAACCGAAAACGACCAAAAATGGGGAGTGAGCCAAACAAAAGTATGATTCTTGAGATAAACATGATTTTGATTTAAGCAATTAAAATGGGTTTGAAAAGGAATGTTTCAATCAAGGAATAAACATATGGTATGATGCGTGATAGAACTGCAGAGTATGCAATAATGAGTCCAAATATATCCAAAACTTGATTCAGGCATATTCAGGCAATGTTTGATGATTTCCCCACATGTTTAACACATTCCTCAACTGACCCAAAAATCACAAATCTTCCCCACCCTCCTTCTGTCATTTTCCTAGAAAAACTCAGCGTCCTGCAACTTGGAGCGTTTTGCTGTGGGATCCCCATAGCCATAGAGGTGCCCCCGGTCTTCCGCATCGTCCATGGCGGCAAAACGTCAATTTGGAACGGCGCCGGACGTGTTTTTATGTTTGAAGTTCTGCAGATCTTTTTCAAAGTGTCTTACCCTCTGGTAATTTAACATGGCTATGGAAAATCACCATTTTCAATGGAAAATCCACTATTAATGGCCATTTTCAATAGCTACGTTAAATTACCAGAGGGTATTCAAATTGGGAAATAGAGAACAGACATCTTAGAATCCTCTGCGCGTCGAACTATGAACATCTCAGTCTCTATCCCAACCTGTTCCCTTTTTGAGTTCAGATCCATGATGTCTCTCAGGCTTCGGACACCAGGACACCGGGACGAATCCCTGAGCTTAGGGGACCGGGTTGGGTTGCAGTCATCCGGAACACCACCTAAACCACAAGGCCTAAAACCAGAAAAATTAGAGAAAACCATGAAAAACCCAAAGCTGGTTGGTGGTTTTAACCATCTTGACAAATATGAGTTCGTCAATGGGAAGGGTTATCCCTTTTTTTGAAATGGAAAATAAAATTCATATTCCAAACCACCAACCAGAAAATCTAAACATATAAATCCTAAAATCCTAATCCTAACCCTAAAACCTTGGAAAACTAAAAGTGATCTTGGGCGACAATCATACCACTATCCCCCCTGGTTAACAACCCACATCGCCCGTTGGTTGTATGACCCCATACCCCAAGTATAACATGGTCTTCAAGAGGTTCAAGACACTTTTTAACGCGTCCGAATAATATTCCAACGCGCCCTTCGAGTATTCAAATGCGCCTCCATCCCTTCGAAATTCGCCAGGACGGATTTCAGGACCCAATTGCCTCAGCCAAGGCCAAGTATTTGGGTTCAAAAATTGGGTGAAACACTTAAAACTGTTCATTTTGATATGGATGAAATTGAATGAAATTGATGATTCACATCTGGAGTCCCATATTCCCCAACAGGTCTCTTAAAACTCGCCTGTAAAAAAAATTGATTCAGTGAAGTTTTCTAAACTAATATCATAGCAGTATAACAAATCAAAATTTATTCATAAAAAAAAACATAACAGTCCAAAAAACCTGTTTATATATTGTTAATTGCTCCATTTTTCTCAACAATATCAAAACATAATTACCTCATTCAATTTTTAAAAATCATAGCAGTCAAAGCATACTTACCTCATTCAATTTTTCAAAATCATAGCAGTCAAAGCATACTTACCTCAGTCAATTTTTCAAAATCATAACAGTCAAAGCATACTTACCTCATTCATTTTTTCAAATTCATAGCAGTCAAAAGCATTATTACCTTATTCATTTTACAAAATCCTATCCATCAACCGTTCCTAAATTCTTTTTATGCTTCTCTGTTTTTAAATGTTTTGAATAACATTGTGCCTTCATTGATGAATTACATACATTACAGAAGGCAACTTTATCACGATAGTTTTGTATTTGTTCCTGTTTTTTTTCTATATTTTTCATTTTCTTTATATTTAGTTCTTCGTGTTTCATTCACTTTATCTTTATGTTTGTCATAGTTCTTTCTCTTGTATTCCAAACATGTCTTACAAGTCTTCAATCCATCTTCAACATTATCAATTGGTAAATCTTTAACACGGTATCTACAAAATTTATCCATTACATATAAATATGATTATCTTCTTAAATGTCTTTTCCAAGAATTCCTATAACAACCAAAAAGCAAAAACAAACCAAGCGAAGAACAACATAAAAGAAAACAACAAAACAATAGACAACAATAAACATTATTCCCTACCCTTTAATAACCCTATCTTACAAATCCATAATTCTAATAAATAAATATTATTAGAAATATGTTAGTAGTAAATATCTTCAATAATTATCAATTCAAAATGAAATGCTTGTATTCCTATTATACTATCTTTATCTTGGTCTTCTTCTATGTCGGTATTTATCTCTTCATCTGCTTTATTCAATACATCTTCTATATTATCTTCATCTACACATTCATCAAAGTCATGCATGAAGTAAGTTTATCTATAACTAAATTCATTGTCTCCATATTCTTTATCTGGGAGTTTTGCTGCTATTTGGACTTCAATATCAAGTTTTAACTCTAAAATTTAAATTATCTTCTTCTACTTCTAAATCAAAGATTCAAAGATAGTAATTCTTCTTTTTCTTCTGTTATGATGTTTCCTATACTTTTTAAACCAAATGGCACTCCCTCTCTCACAATACAGTATTCAATTACATTTAATTTTTTTGGGTTTCAAATGTCTTGTTATTTTAGGACCAAATCTTGATATTTTATGTTTGTTCCGTATTCTCTTCAATGCTTCACTATGCTTTATTGTCAAATATTTAGGGTCTCCAATTTTATAAGGAACGATCTTACGCAACGCATCAACAGGCAAACCCTTCATACAATTCGTCTTATAAAAACTTATATAAATAACTTAGTCTTTCAGTATATATATTCCAAGATTAAAATGCAGAATTCTTTGAAAAACTACTTAAAGATAAATTAACTAAATAAAATATATACTATTATATGATGAAAAAGGTTAAAAACTATTTATTGAGTAATGATTTAGCAGAAATACCAAAACGAGGAAGAAGAGAATTAAAGTCAATAATAATATATGATATATAAGAAATTCAGATACAACAAACACAAACCAATATCTAGTGTGTTAACAAAGAAAGTACTGACGGTCAAGAAAACTAATGAATACAGAAGTTATGCTTTAAACAAGGCAAAAGATGCGTTCAGTGAAGGAAGAGTGAGACAAATACTAACCAAACACGCAATCAGAAATAAATTTAGGGTCAGAGATATTCAATCAGCATTTAGAAGATACGCTAATTCAATAGTTTTAGAAAATAAACACTTTCAAGGAGAAAGGGGATTAGAAATGATTGCGCACCAAAAACAAAGACTATCAGATTTTTTAAGAAATAATAGAAGCATGAAACTTAACATAAGAACGGAAGGATTATTTGAAAAACCTGAATTTGATGATGGAGGAAATGAATTAGGAAGTCAGGAACTTGTATATGCCCTACCATCAACCCGCTTCAATATTAGTAATGAGGATGAACTGACGCAAGCATTAGAAGACAGTGCTAAACAAATCTTGTTACAAATGCAGAATTTAGAAGCATCAGCATCCAATTTAAGATTTAAGAAGATTTTGACAATAACCATTCACTATGACAAATATGACCCAACAAGAGCAGGGAGATACATAGAATTACCTGAATGGATTAAGCTAAATTACTTTACTTCGTGTGATCCCCACCATGACATTTATACATTTTCTTACTGGCAAATCTTCTGGCATTCTATCTGACATATCTTCTGACATTCTATTTGACATTCTATCTGCATATCTTCTGGCATATGATCTGGCATATCTTCTGGCATATCTTCTGGCATTCTATCTGGCAAATCTTCTGGCATTCTATCTGGCATATCTTCTGGCATTCTATCTGACATATCTTCTGGCATTCTATCTGGCATTCTATCTGGCATATCTTCTGGCATATATTCTGACATATCTTTGGCATTCTATCTGGCATTCTATCTGGCATTCTATCTAGCATATCTTCTGGAATATCTTCTGGCATATCTATCTGGCATATCTTCTGGCATTATCATCTGGGATATCTTCTGGCATTTTTCTGGCCTTCCTTTATCTGGCGAATACGTCTGGCATTATATCTGGCATATCTTCTGGCATATTATCTGGCATTCTATCTGGCACATATCTTTCTGGCACTATTCGAAATATCTTCTGGCATTCTCTCTGGTCATTCTTATTGGCCTTCAATCTCCAGGACAATATTCTTTCTGGCAGATCGGTCTGAAAAAACCATATCTTCTGAATTTTGTGCTAACTTTTACTATCGCACCAGTCTTTGTGTTTCCCATATCTTCCTACATGAGGTCCGGCAGGGAACCCTTGGCGTGGATACTCGCGGTTGAGGTCCGGCAGGGAACACTGGGCGTGGATGGTCGTGGTTGAGGTCCGGCAGGGAACACTGGGCGTGGATGGTCGTGGTTGAGGTCCGGCAGGGAACACTGGGCGGGGATGGTCGGGGTTGAGGTCCGGCAGGGCACACTGCGTGGATGGTCGTGGTTGAGGTCCGGCAGGGCACACTGACGTGGATGGTCGTGGTTGAGGTCCGGCAGGGCACACTGACATGGATCGCAGTGGAGCAGGAGGAGGACGAGGAGGACGAGGAGGAGGACGAGGAGGACGACGAGGAGGAGGACGACGAGGAGGAGGAGAGGAGAGGAGGAGGAGGAGGACCAGGCAACTGACATAAAATCTAACAACCCTCACCTGGCAGGTGGGGAAAAAGGCATGTATCAACATAAAGAACAGAGACCAAAAATGCTTCAAATATTGTATTCAATCCGTAGTCTATGACAAAATAAGCAAACACCACCCAGAGGAAATGTTCCACTATAATAAACTGAAAGATGATATTTTGAACTGGGACGGGGTACATGTTCCAACTGGCAATAGGGACATTGACAGATTTGAAGAGAACAATAAATCAGTTTCAATAAATGTGTTTGAACCCGATGACTGCTTAAATGATAATAAGATTATATTGCATAGAGGCACTAAAAATAGAAATGCTAAATACGAAATTGATTTACTAAAAATCTATGATGAAGATAAAAGTTATCACTACGTATTAGTTAAAAATAAATGTAGATTATTAAACGGTCAAAGCAGTAGCAACACAAATAAAAAGTTTTACTGCCACCATTGTTTAAATCCCTTTCAATCAGAAAAGGTATATAAGAAACATCTTGAAAACGGATGTATGGCATCAGAAGGACAACAAACAAAGATGCCAGATAAAGACACCCATATAGAATTTGAAGAGCATAATACTAAATTGCCTTGTCCTTTTGTAATCTATGGTGATTTTGAATGTCTAACGACTAACTCTAAAAATGGTATAAAAGGCACATATCAGGAACATAAGCCTTGCAGTTATATGTTGAATGTTGTAA